CGGCAATTGAGTCGAAGCAATCAAGTCAAACCCGCGATACTATCACCCCCCCCCCCCAACGCTGACCCAAGCAAAGAACTCCCTCATTGAGGACGGGATCAACGATTCAATCCAACTAGATAATAATGAAAAAAAAAGAAACAATACCGTATTCGAGTACATGTACTTGTATCGTGACGAGCTCTCTACGAATACTTGTAGGCTCCAAGTTAAACCACACGAGCTGACCACCCCGTTCTTATACCGGTATCTCGACTCAACCTATTCCGCTGGGAAGTATGCCGGTCGTGGAGCAAATCACTTTTCACTGCACTAGTACCGTACTCAGACACACTGCTCGAGCATAGCTACTGTACGGTACATGTATCATACCGGTGTATCATACCGGTGTTCCCTTCAAATCCCCCAAAGGAAAAAAAAAAAAAAAAAAAAGACCAAGTCAAGGACACCACCCATCTCCCATATCATACTGTACTCGTACTGTACTCGTCTTCCCAAATTCCTTCGCCCAACTGCATCATGCTAGGGGTTCTGAGCGTCAACCGGGATTTCGATCCGCTCCTGTGCTACCTCTGTCGTACTCACCGGCTGCCGGTCCAATACCAATACAAGTACTCTACCTAACCCTACCCTCTCACTCTGCCGTCCAAAAAAACTCAATACCGTACAGTATTCTACGGTAGGACAATTGAGACTGAACAAACCTAAAAGCAGATCAAGCGATTAAAAGAAGCCTACCGATAGGGAAAGAGGGCGGAAACCCCCTCTCCCCTTCCACCGAACAACCAGAAAAACTTCAGTAATAAGTACCGGTAGAGTACTTGTACCTGTATTCGAGTACAAGCAAACAGTTAAATTTACCCGTACCGGCCTCGCGTAGGTACGACACCCCAGTCCAGTCCATCCGACAACGCACAACCCACCCAACCCAAATACCGGTATCATACTGTATACTGTATTATATAATATTACAATTACTTCCGCCGCCGCCCCCACTCCAACAGCTCGACACCAAAAGTGGAAAACCCCTTACCCAAAAGAGTACTCGTGCGGCCTTGTACTTGTGCTCGAGTACAAGCACAAGACCCTAGTACCGAAAGGACAGAAAAGGATCCACGCCCAAACATGAAACCCGGCTCGCCAAGCCCTTGACCTTCTTCTTCTCACCTTCAGCGGTGCCTTGGAGCCATTTTATCAGCGGGCGATAATTTGTCTGCTTCCTGGCAAGGACAATCTTGAATGCTTGTGCGCCCAACCTGAATGGAATGAAGTACCGGTGGTCGGTTTGGTTAGCTGATTGTGCCACCAACAACCACTCTACCTAAAACATGGAGGGAGTGTGAGGCGGGGTGATAAGCGAAGACACGAACCATTTGACTTGTGCACGCGTCACGACGCACCTAGCCTTTGAATCTTGGCAGTTCTTCACCATCACAAAGGCGAATTCGAGGACGTCGCTCACTATCTTTATCAGCAGGTCCTGTGACGGACGATGTTTCGACGAGAGGGCTTTGACGGAGCGGTGGAATTTCATAGCGGCTTCGATAAAGTTGTGGTAGATATTCTTGAGCACTGTTTGGAAATTATTGAAGTCCGTGTCGAAGAACATGGCATGCGACTGGAACTTGAAGGCGCTGCAAAAGCAAGGGTCCTACCGGTCAATATCGGATGCTGAACAAATGCACAGCATAACGAGGGTTTAAATTGATCAGGATACACGTGCCAAAAGAGGGGAACACACCTTACTGCCTTCTTGTGCAGGGACCTCCCAGCGTTCCGTGAATACTCCACAGTTAGGGTATCATCCACGACTGGATATCGAGATCAAATACGGGTTAACAAAACTGCCCAACTCCGCTCGAGTACCGATATTGGGAAGCAGAGGTCATGGACAACACTTACTATTTTCAACCTTTCTCTCTCGATCCCGTCTAATATCCAAGGTCCTTGTATGTATTAGGTTCCCGCAATAGGGGAATTCCTTGGTGTCAACGATCCGGTTGATTCTCCGTCCATTGACCATAGCCTCGAAATTGCTAAGCGACTTGTCAATACTCACATACGCACCGTACTCCGGATGGCCCTGGTGCATTATCTGAAAGAACTGTTCCGCATGGCTGCGATCAATTGTGATGAACAGGAAATCATCAATGAGCCGGAGCAGCACACCCGTTGGGGCCGACGCGAAAGGGAGTTTTTTACGCTCAAGGTCTCCGTAAAAAAAGTTACAGAGAATGGTGGAAAGAACAGAGCCCTGTGGGATACCAGACTTTTGACGGAAGAACTTTTTTCCGATCTAGAAAAAATAAAAATAGCATCAGCATCGGCCAAGTGAGAAGTAGGCATTGTCGGCATGTGGGGCATACTTTGATGATATTAACCAGGACATGCTCTTCCAGCAATTCCATCAGTTTATCCTGTCCCTTATACGATTGAACCACATCCTCAACCCAGATAGTTCCTCTCCTCCTGCGCGAGCCCTGATTGCATTCTTCCTTTACTAGGTCGCCAAACCTTCCAAAATCATCTGCCGAACCGCCTTTCGCCACAAACTTCTTTGCAATCTTCCTGGCTGGCGCTGGCGCTTTCACCTCGGCGTACTTGTGGATGCGATATTCGTCTTCCGTTAGGAGCGCGCCTACCACCTTCAACAGTTCTCTCTGGGGAATAGTGTCGAAACAAGCCTGAATGTCGACTTTAGCAAAGA